AATTGACATGTCTAACATCAGCTTGCTTGCGCTGAGGTGGGAGGGTGGCAATATTTGAGATGTGTCCTTAAGAACCAGCGCAAAAGTGACCATTTCATTCAGCGCAAAGGAGGTCTTAGCGGTAACGCAGCTGGTTATGGCATGGATTTTGACAGCGGAAGCGCAGCCTATCCAGCCATGACGTGCAGTGCCCATATGCACATGGAACAAGAGAGATGTGCTTTTTGTGCCTGTGAACCTCGTATTTAGAAACATAAAAAACTAATGTTTTTTCCCCCATTTCGTTTCATTCGATTAAAGACCAAGCACAGCCTCCCCTCTCCTCAATGAATGCAGTTTTTTTTTGGTCCTGCCCAATAACTTCGCCAAGTAGCCAAGACTGTCCATAAAGGTTTTGGCTCGTGAGACTCTTTTGAAATAAATCTTAATCAGCTTTTATTAAACATTTTATATATATATTTTTTTGTATCTATATTGAAATATCTATTTTTTTCAGCAAAATAGTGAGCGGACATCCCCTTTTTATCAATGTGTTGTACGTTATTTTAGCCAGCTCCTGTTATTATTTTGGATGTGTGTAAAACCCCCTCCATACAGTGCATTTGGAAAGTATTCAGACCCCTTGACTTTTTCCACATTTTGTTATGTTACAGACCTATTCTAAAATGGATTAAATTGCTTTCTTTCCTCATCAATCTACCCACAATACCCCACAATGTCAAAGCAAAAACAGGTTTTTAGACATTTTTGCAAATGTATTACAAATATATAAGTATTCAGACCCTTTACTCAGTACTTTGTTGAAGCACCTTTGGCAGCGATTACAGCCTCAAGTCTTCTTGGGTATGACGCTACAAGCTTGGCACACCAGTATTTTGGGAGTTTCTCCCATTCTTCTCTGCAGATCCTCTCAAGCTCTGTCAGGTTGGATGGGGAGCGTCGCTGCACAGCTATTTTCAGGTCTCTCCAGAGATGTTAGATCGGGTTCAAGTCCGGGCTCTGGCTGGGCCACTCAAGGATATTCAGAGGATTGTCCTGAAGCCACTCCTAAGTTGTCTTGGCTGTGTGCTTAGGGTCGTTGTCCTGTTGGAAGGTGAACCTTCGCCCCCAGTCTGAGGTCCTGAGCGCTCTGGATCATGTTTTCATCAAGGATCTCTCTGTACTTTGCTCCGTTCATCTTTACCTTGATCCTGACTAGTCTCCCAGTCCCTGCCGCTTGGCATTCATGCCAGAGAGTTCAATCTTGCTTTCATCAGACCAGAGAATCTTGTTTTGCATGGTCTGAGTCCTTTCGGTGCCTTTTGGCAAACTCCAAGCGGGCTGTCATGTGCCTTTTACTGAGGAGTGGCTTCCGTCTGGCCACTCTTCCTAAAGGCCTGATTGTTGGAGTGCGGCAGAGATGGTTGTCCTTCTAGAAGGTTCTCCCATCTCCACAGAGGAACTCTGGAGCTCTGTCAGAGTGACCATCGGGTTCTTGGTCTCCTCCCTGACCAAGGCCCTTCTCACCCGATTGCTCAGTTTGGCCAGGCGGCCAGCTCTAGGAAGTGTCTTGGTGGTTCCAAACTTCTTCCATTTAAGAATGATGGAGGCCACTGTGTTCTTGGTGACCTTCAATACTTTAGACATTTTTTGGTACCCTTCCCCAGATCTGTGCCTCGACACAATCCTGTCCCGGAGCTCTACGGACAATTCCTTCGACCTCATGGCTTGGTTTTTGCTCTGACATGCACTGTCAGCTGTGGATCCTTATATAGACAGGTGTGTGCCTTTCCAAATCATGTCCAATCAACTGAATTTACCACAGGTGGACTCCAATCAAGTTGTAGAAACATCTCAAGGATGATCAATTGAAACAGGATGCTCCTGAGCTCAATTTCGAGTCTCATAGCAAAGGGTCTGAATGCTTATGTAAATAAGTTATTTCAGTTTTTTATTTTTTATGCATTTGCAAAAATTTATAAAACCTGTTTTCACTTTGTCATTATGTGGTATTGTGTGTAGATTGATGAGGGAAATTTTTTTTAAATCAATTTTAGAATAAGGCTGTAACGTAACAAAATGTGGAAAAAGTGAAGGGGTCTGAATACTTTCCATAGGCTACATATCTAAATGCCCATCATGGAACAAGAGATGAGATGATGCCAGAGACCCTTGTATATTCCTCTAACAATTGCTTGTTTTCCATTTCATTAGATTAAAAACCAATCCCTCAGTAGGCTACCCTTACCCTACTATAATAAAAGCTGGTTCAACACCAATGTCTTTCTTATCCTGGGCATGCATTAGCCAAGTACCCTATCAAATCAAAATAATGTCTAATAAAATTGTATTTGTCACATGCTTTGTAGATAACAGGTGTAGACTAACAGTGAAATGCTTACTTACGGGTCCATTTCCAACAATGCAGCGTTAAAGATGATAAGATAAAAATAATAATACACAAAAATATATTACATTTTTTCCTCAATAACAGGTTTCTAAATGGTCTACTCATGAGGCTTTTACCATCATGCTTTGTAGATTTCACAATTTACATAGTCCTATAATGCTCCTCCAAACATATTCAAATGATTCAGTCCTATAATGCTCCTCCAAACATAATCAAATAATTCAGTCCTATAATGCCATATCAATGGTGGATAGGCCTATATCTTGCTTATTGCGAACGTGCCTCACACATACAATACATCACATTTTAAGGGGAGCCTAGTATGTGTATGTATATGTATGTGTATATACAGTGGGGAAAAAAAGTATTTAGTCAGCCACCAATTGTGCAAGTTCTCCCACTTAAAAAGATGAGAGAGGCCTGTAATTTTCATCATAGATGTTAACTCAGACAGACAAATTGAGAATTTTTTTCTCCAGAAAATCACATTGTAGGATTTTTTATGAATTTATTTGCAAATTATGGTGGAAAATAAGTATTTGGTCAATAACAAAAGTTTCTCAATACTTTGTTATATACCCTTTGTTGGCAATGACACAGGTCAAACATTTTCTTTAAGTCTTCACAAGGTTTTCACACACTGTTGCTGGTATTTTGGCCCATTCCTCCATGCAGATCTCCTCTAGAGCAGTGATGTTTTGGGGCTGTCGCTGGGCAACACAGACTTTCAACTCCCTCCAAAGATTTTCTATGGGGTTGAGATCTGGAGACTGGCTAGGCCACTCCAGGACCTTGAAATGCTTCTTACGAAGCCACTTCTTCGTTGCCTGGGCGGTGTGTTTGGGATCATTGTCATGCTGAAAGACCCAGCCACGTTTCATCTTCAATGCCCTTGCTGATGGAAGGAGGTTTTCACTCAAAATCTCACGATACATGGCCCCATTCATTCTTTCCTTTACACTGATCAGTCGTCCTGGTCCCTTTGCAGAAAAACAGCCCCAAAGCATGATGTTTCCACCCCCATGCTTCACAGTAGGTATGGTGTTCTTTGGATGCAACTCAGCATTCTTTGTCCTCCAAACACGACGAGTTGAGTTTTTACCAAAAAGTTATATTTTGGTTTCATCTGACCATATGACATTCTCCCAATCCTCTTCTGGATCATCCAAATGCACTCTAGCAAACTTCAGACGGGCCTGGACATGTACTGGCTTAAGCAGGGGGACACGTCTGGCACTGCAGGATTTGAGTCCCTGGCGGCGTAGTGTGTTACTGATGGTAGGCTTTGTTACTTTGGTCCCAGCTCTCTGCAGGTCATTCACTAGGTCCCCCCGTGTGGTTCTGGGATTTTTGCTCACCGTTCTTGTGATCATTTTGACCCCACGGGGTGAGATCTTGTGTGGAGCCCCAGATTGAGGGAGATTATCAGTGGTTTTGTATGTCTTCCATTTCCTAATAATTGCTCCCACAGTTGATTTCTTCAAACCAAGCTGCTTACCTATTGCAGATTCAGTCTTCCCAGCCTGGTGCAGGTCTACAATTTTGTTTCTGGTGTCCTTTGACAGCTCTTTGGTCTTGGCCATAGTGGAGTTTGGAGTGTGACTGTTTGAGGTTGTGGACAGGTGTCTTTTTATACTGATAACAAGTTCAAACAGGTGCCATTAATACAGGTAACGAGTGGAGGACAGAGGAGCCTCTTAAAGAAGAAGTTACAGGTCTGTGAGAGCCAGAAATCTTGCTTGTTTGTAGGTGACCAAATACTTAATTTCCACCATCATTTGCAAATAAATTCATTAAAAATCCTACAATGTGATTTTCTGGATTTTTTTTCCTCAATTTGTCTGTCATAGTTGACGTGTACCTATGATGAAAATTACAGGCCTCTCTCATCTTTTTAAGTGGGAGAACTTGCACAATTGGTGGCTGACTAAATACTTTTTTCCCCCACTGTGTGTGTGTGTGTGTGTGTGTGTGTGTGTGTATATGTGTGTATATATATATATATATATATATATATATATATATATATATATATATATATATATATATATATATATATATATATATTTAGGACATGTGTAACGACATGTATGGCCTATAGGCCTACTCATTGACGCAATTACAACAATGTTGACTGCCAACACTCCAAGCATACTATATTTAGCAGAAATTTGATGTATTTTACTGTTGCTATTATTCATTATTGTAACCTATGCTGTTTATTAAACGGTATCAATATACAATGGACTAGGACGAGAATATTCTGAGCCCCCCAGCCGAATTGGAGTTGATGACAAAGCAAACACTGTCAATAACGTACACAACTTGAGATAACCACATGCAGTATTAAGCCATGGAGCACGTTGATTTGGCCAGTGAATGGTCAAGCCCTCATCACACCTATAACTTATTTATTCATAAAAACACAGCCCTTTCACGCCACCGACAGCTATTGCGCCCATAATTTCCGCTGTGAAAATAGCATAACACCCCTGGACATAAGATTTGCATTAGGTTTGTTCAAATAGAACCCTTTGTGTCTTACTCTCTCTCCTACTTCCTTTGCATATCAGGACATTGTGAAAGATGAAATGTTTATGCAAATATCATAATGTGGACTGTGGGAGGGAAGGACAGTGATTTAACTAGTCTAGGACCTGAACTGTATAGCCCACATTCAAAACCTTTTAATTTATTTAGTCCTTCCATCCTTCCTTCCTTCCTCATTCCCCCAGCTTACCTGTGCAATGGCATGTTCCACAAGCACCTGCAGGACCTGTTCATCCCGCTGGTGGTGCGCTACATAGACCTTATGGAATCCTCCATCGCACAGTCCATCCACCGCGGATTCGAGCAGGAAACCTGGCAGTCCGTCAAGTAAGCCCCCCCCCCCCCCCCCCCCCCCCCCCAATGTAGTCATTAGTTGCATTCAGCTGTGCTATTTAAAGCTCATTGCTCTAAGTCTCAGAGATGTGCTTTTACATCACGAACGGTAGCAAGCCTAGAATATTTCTGTCCGCATTTTTATTTGAGCTACATGTCTACAGATGAGTGTGTGTAGTGTAGGCTAGATAACATCCACCGACAAGGCACAAAACCAGATGGCGTCTGGAGCATCAACACTCACCGGAATCTCTCTGTTGTCTTTTGTCTCTGTCGCATCTTTTTTTTGTCGTTGTTTGGTTTGGTTTGCCGTTCATTTCTTTTCAGGACAATAACCAACAACCTACCGAGCGTGCCTCTGCCCAAAGTCAATCTCCCACAGATGCCGAGCTTCTCAGCACCCTCCTGGATGGGCCCGCTGTGTGACAGCACGTGTGTATGGGCTGCGGCAAGATCTAGTGGGGCGTTGTGGCATGGACTGTGCTGTGGTTGTCTCTGTCATTGTCAAACTTATCCCCTTCAAGAACACTATTTCACATTCTATTACTTCCCTTTGCCAATGGTGTGCCATTACCTATTGAACTAGCTTAATGCATTTTGTAGAAGTGTGAAACTTGGAGAAAAGATCAGCTCGAAAATCAGCCCTCACATTTAAATTTCAAAGTTAATAGTAAAACTAGTATGTCTACTACTGAGGCTTTTAACTGCAATTCAGACGGCCCAGATATTCCTGGGATTGGTTGCCCCATTTGATGACCTCAAACTGATACCTTCTTTGAGACCGAGATAAAAGCATGGTTGTTTTTGTTGTCTTGTGAGGGTTGTTGTGTTATGTGGTGCATGGTTCCGCAGCATGGCACATTTTGTGGCACAGCAGCTTCTCTTTTGTGAAATGTATGTTGTGGCTCCTCGATCAGGAACGGCTGTGGCATGTGTAGTTTTTTTGTGCACACATCCAACATATTTTGGGTATTTTTATTGTATATTGGATAGTATCAGAGACACCTGTTTTGACACCTGTTTATAACTGTGATGTTACGGTATGCTGGTCAATTCTCAGCTCAACTAAGCACTGAGTTGTGAAGTGTGTCATGCCTAATGAATGTTGAATAAGAAATGGTATTCTTATTTATTTCAGCTTGCAAGGAATTAATTTACCTGATATTTTGTAAGTAGGCGTAGCCGTTTTATAGATTTCAGTGAATATGTTTTTTCGAAACCTCAATGCTTGTCTTTGGGACTGTTATGAAACAGTTTTCAGCGCTTGTCAAGTGACCATTTTCTCCTCAAACCTTTGTCATAATTGAGCAGGCATGATCCCCCACAAGCAAGATTATTAAGGGCTTTCACACGTATGAAATTCGGTATCCTGGTTCGGTTTCCTGGTGCGTTTGTGAGAATTCTACAGAATACGTTTTGCTTTCACAAGACCTGAAAATAAAAATGTCAGGGTCCGATTAGCAAATTCTACATGATGTTAGCGAGCTAGCTTGTTTACAACGGGCAAAAAAGTTCCACGCGACTCGCAATACAAGGTGCCTTCTGAGGGCCCAGTAGAAACAGTGGAGACTCAACAAGGTGCCTTCTGAGGGCCCAGTAGAAACAGTGGAGACTCAACAAGGTGCCTTCTGAGGGCCAAGAAGAATCAGTGGAGACTCAAACCACCCACCCACCTACCCTTGCCTCGCTCAAGAAAAATAAAACTGGCACTTCGTTAGCGAGCACAGATGGGCGTGGGGGATCGTTCCATTCCCCTGGGAGAGGGGACGCTCGGAGAAGAGAGCTCCTAATTAGTCATGAGGGGGGAAATGAGCGAGCATTTAATTGCAACACGGATTTCGCCCAAACAATTTATTCCCACTTGTGAAGGTAAGTCTTTTAAAGGCGAAGTGAGAAAAGTGAGGGAGTGAGTGTGCTTCACCACCCCCCACCCTCTCTCTCTCCCTTGCTCGCTCTGGTTTGCTGTACACTTGGATGCTGGTTACAGCCACCGGTTACCATGTGTGGCAGTGTAGACACCGGGGAGAAGGTGGCGATGGAGATCCCATCTGTCTGTGTGCTCAGTCTCCTTAGTAACAGTCAGTCTGACAGCAGGGCGTGTTCAGTCACTGTAGAACATGTTCAGGAACTTTTGGGTGTCTTAAGAACATGTCAAATGTAACTCTGACATGTTAAACTGTGGACCATGTAAATTGTCGAACGTGTTTAGTTACTGAGCAATAATACAAGAAAACATCAGCACCTCACTTAAAACGCTCGAACACAACACCCCAGACTTTGTAACTCAGTCTTCATTTGTTCATGTTTAACTGACAGAACTTCCTTGAATCTTGGCAAAGTTAACCTTTGGCCTCTTCCCTCCCCAACCCCTAGTAACGGCTCAGCGACCTCAGAGGACCTCTTCTGGAAGTTGGACGCCCTCCAGATGTTTGTCCTGGACCTGCACTGGCCTGAGCCAGAGTTTGCCAAACACCTGGAGCAGAGGCTGAAGCTCATGGCCAGCGACATGATGGAGGCTTGCGTCAAAAGGTCAGAGGGCAGGATGAGGTCACCACCTGGGATGGGTTGGGGGTTAAGCGTTTACCCACCTCATTTTTTACCACAGCATTCCTGGTTTATAACAGAGATATTACTGAGGATAATGAGGAGGAGGTTAGTGATATGGTTTTGAACAGTGTTTTCCATAGCCCCCTAGGAATTAACCATTTTCATAACACCTTTCAATTGCCTTTTTATACCCAAAGAACGAAAGCCGCCTTCGACTCCAAGATGCAGAAGGCCAGCAAGTCAACGGACTTCCGGGTGTCGCTGTCGGTGTGCACCATGTTCAACATGCTAATGGACGCCAAGAAGCAGTGCGCCAAACTCTGTGTGCTGGACTCCGGTCAAGAGGTACGACCGCGCTCAACCTCTATTGTCTGTTCTTTGATCACACATTTCCAGCAATGCATGCAAAACCATCACAAACTTGACTAACGTCAATCTAGATTGTTTTGTTATTTAACTAATGAGTGTAGCGAACAATGGATATACTGTAGTTCAAAGAATGGACAGAGCCTCATTCATTTTTTTAAACTTACACTTGCAACCCTACATGCCATCATCAGTTATAAGCAATGATCTCTCTAAGCTGCGCGCGGGCGCACAGTATCCCCGGCCCTGCCGCGCAGCTCCCCCGGGCCTGCCGCCCAGCTCCCCCGGGCCTGCCGCCCAGCTCCCCCGGGCCTGCCGCGCAGCTCCCCCGGCCCTGCCGCGCAGCTCCCCCGGGCCTGCCGCCCAGCTCCCCCGGCCCTGCCGCGCAGCTCCCCCGGGCCTGCCGCCCAGCTCCCCCGGGCCTGCCGCCCAGCAACATTTCCCTTTATTGTGGCAATTGTGATCGAATCAACGCAATATTAGACACTTTCAATGCAACATACTGAAACAAAAATAACTATGCAAGACTTTGTATGCAAAACTAACTATGCAAGAGATTTTGTTGTAGGCAGAATGCATCGGAGTAGGATTCTATTGCATTGACACACATGACTCAACCCGTACTCTACACAGACTGGTTCAGCATAACCAATCAGTAGGCCTATATGCAAATAGGCCATTGCCATATATGGATCTGTGCCATTTACTTTGAACTGGACTGTGTTTACAGCATGAGCGGTCGTGAGTAGATGCGCTTGTTGTGAGATCAAAGCGAGAGGTGCATGTAGCCACGTGTGCATATTTTGTTCATATCCTTTGCTAGTTAGTGAGTTATTAGCCCAGTTATAGTTAATTTGTAGTCAGCAATAGGGAGTGTACATTTCTAGACATCTTTGAAAAGCAAGTCAGGTAAAGAGCTTTTTTTTTGTCTTAAAGGGGCAGTTGTATTTTGAGACAGGCTTGAATAAGCTAAGTGAATAAGCTAAGTAGCCAATAGGCAGAGGGTAGCATAATTTGTCTGATACTCTGTAATAATGGTATGGGAATAATAATGCATTTTATTGTGTAAAGTGGTTTCTTGCGTCAAACAACACCACAACATGTTCAGTCACCTCCGTGTCTGAAGGACAAGTGGATAAACAGGTTAATGTCAAGCCCTGCAGGTTTTTTTCAAAGTCTAATGGTATGTAGTCCTACATTGAACACCACACATTGGCTGCTACTGTAGGCTGAATGATAGAACAGCTATTTCCATGTTAAAATGTTATGGGATGCATTTTCTCCATAGTTTTTTTTGTTAGGCCACTCTGGTACACCTACATAATGATCAAATAGCCACAGTAGCCTACTTGACCACTGTTAAAATTGTAACTTAAAGCGGGTACAGCCTCAGTGTTCACTGGAAGTTGCACAGAATTTTCACAATGTTCAAATTTGCGCTCAGCAGTCCTAAAATTTTCTCAGTGCCGAAAAAGATTTGAGAGAACATTGTTTATAAGTACACTATACCAACACAACAGTACCAAGTATTGTTCCATACCTTGCCTGGGTTTCCCTCAAGAGCTCAATAACTAATGTTTCCTTTGGTTTGTGACGGATTCAGTAATCTTCATATCACCTTGACTGCCTTGCAGCCAAAACATTCATTGCAAAGGGCACATTTATATCACGTCCAGATCAGTGGTAACTTGCAGTGGCTGCTCTAAATCGATGTGGCTGAATGAGCTCTCGATCTCTCCATTACAGCATTTCATCCTGCTAAAGGCTAACCCTCCGCTACCCGCTGACTATTTACACAGTGTCTCTACAGAGAGCTAAGCTCACTGTCCCCTTAACCTTCAGCTGCACTCTCCTCAAGTCCTTGAGGATGTTGATTCATAGCCGAACACATGCACTCAGGTTTGTACACTCGGTGTACACTACAGATTCCAATTTGGATTCCAATTCCATGGTCACTATTGCCCTAATTGAATGAATGCATTAATTATGGATGTGATTATGATGTGGCAAGGTGTTGTTTCAGCTGCGCTAAATACTGTCCAAGGTCATTATCTATACAGTGTCTGAACCATTGATGATTTACAGGTGTGGGATCTTAATTTGACCAGTTCCATTCCAGGTGTAAAATAATCCTGCAGCAGGAGGTTTTGATTATTTTCACAAAAAATTGATCATTTCTAACAGGAAATTAGTTTTGATAGGCTACAGTAGGCAATAGTTTAGGTGTACATACACTACATGGCAAAAAGTATGTGGACACCCCTTCAAATTAGTGGATTTGGCTTTTTTAGCCACACTCTTTGCTGACAGGTGTATAAAATGGAGCACACAGCCATGCAATATTCACAGATAAACATTGGCAGTAGAATGGCCCCTACTGAAGAGCTCATTGACTTTCAACATGGTACCGTCATAGGATGCCACCTTTCCAACAAGTCAGTTCGTGAAATTTCCTGCCCTGCTAGAGCTGCCCTGGTTAACTGTAAGTGCTGTTATTGTGAAGTGGAAACGTCTAGGAGCAACAACGGCTCAGCCGCGAAGTGGTAGGCCGCACAAGCTCACAGAACGGGACTGTCGGACTACCGCGTTCCAAACTGCCTCTGGAAGCAACGTCGGCACAATAACTGTTCGCCGGGAGATTAATTAAATTGGTTTCCATGGCTGAGCAGCCGCACACAAGCCCAAGATCCCTATGCACAATGCCAAGTATTGGTTGAAGTGGTGTAAAGCTCGCCGCCATTGGACTCTAGAACAGTGGAAACGCGTTCTCTGGAGTGGTGAATCACGCTTCAACATCTAGCAGTCCGATGGACAAATCTGGGTTTGGTGGATGCCAGGAGAACGCTACCTGCCCCAATGCATAGTGCCAAGTATAAAGTTTGGTGGTGGAGGAGGAATAATGGTATTGGGCTGTTTTTCATTGTTCCGTCTAGGCCCCTTATCCAGTGAAGGGAAATCTTAACGCTACAGCATACATTTACATTCTAGATGATTCTGTGCTTCCAACTTTGTGTCAACAGTTTGGGGAAGGCTCTTGCCTTTTTCAGCATGACAATGCCCCCGTGCACAAAGCGAGGTCCATACAGAAATGGTTTGTCGAGATCAGTGTGGAAGAACTAGACTGACCAACACAGTACCCTGACCTCAACCCCATCTAACACCTTTTGGATGAATTGGAACGCCGACTGCTAGCCAGGCCTAATCGCCCAACATCAGTGCCCGACCTCACTATTGCTCTTGTGGCTAAATGGAAGCAAGTCCCCGCAGCAATGTTCCAAAATCTAGTGGATGAAGGTCACCAAGAACACAGTGGCCTCCATCAATCTTAAATGGAAGAAGTTTGGAACCACAAAGACTCTTCCTAGAGCTGGCCGCCCGGCCAAACTGAGCAATCGGGGGAGAAGGGCCTTAGTCAGGGAGATAACCAAGAACCTGATGGTCACTCTGACAGAGCTCCAGAGTTCCTCTGTGGAGATGGGAGAACCTTCCAGAAGGACAACCATCTCTGCAGCACTCCACCAATCAGGCCTTTATGGTCGAGTGGCCAGACGGAAGCCAATCCTCAGTAAAAAGCACATGACAGCCCACTTGGATTTTGCAAGAGGCACCTAAAGGACTCTCAGACCATGAGAAACAAGATTCTTTGGTCTGATGAAAGCTAGATTGAACTCTTTGGCCTGAATGCCAAGCATCACATCTGGAGAAAACCTGGCACCATCCCTACAGTGAAGCATGGTGGTGGCAGCATCATGCTCTGGGGATGTTTTTCAGCGTTAGGGACTGGGGGACTAGTCAGGGTCGAGGGGAATAATGAACGGTGCAAAGTACAGAGAGATCCTTGATGAAAACCTGCTCCAGAGCGCTCAGGTCCTCAGACTGGGGTGACGGTTCACCTTCCAACAGGACAACGACCCTAAGCACACAGCCAAGACAGCGCCGGAGTGGCTTCGGGACAAGTCTCTGAATGTCCTTGAGTGGCCCAGCCAGTGCCCGGACTTGAACCCGATCTAACATCTCTGGAGTGACCTGAAAATAGCTGTGCAGCGACGCACCCCATCCAACCTGACAGAGCTTGAGAGGATCTGCAGAGAAGAATGGGAGAAACCCCCCAAATACAGGTGTGCCAAGCTTGTAGCGTCATACCCAAGAAGACTCGAGGCTGTAATTGCTGCCGAAGGTGCTTCAACAAAGTACTGAGTAAAGGGTCTGAATACTTATGTAAATGTGATATTTCCGTTTTTTTTTATACATTTGCTAACATTTCTAAAAGGCTGTTTTTGCTTTATCAGTATTGTGTGTAGATTGCTGAGGGAAAAACAACAATGTAATCAATTTTAAGAATAAGGCTGTAACGTAACAAAATGTGGAAAAAGTGAAGGGGTCTGAATACACTGTACATCTGTATCGTTGTTTCAAGTCCTGTGTGCTGGAGCTGCTGTTACATTTGAGTCATTTGAGGGACGATCATTACATTTACATTTACATTTTAGTCATTTAGCAGACGCTCTTATCCAGAGCGACTTACAGTTAGTGAATACATATTTTTTTATACTGGCCCCCCGTGGGAATCGAACCCACAACCCTGGCGTTGCAAACGCCATGCTCTATCAACTGAGCTACATCCCGGCCGGCCATTCCCTCCCCTACCCTGGACGACGCTGGGCCAATTGTGCGCCGCCCATGAGTCTCCCGGTCGCGGCCGGCTGCGACAGAGCCTGGATTCGAACCAGGATCTCTAGTGACACAGTTAGCACTGCGATGCAGTGCCTTAGACCACTGCGCCACTCACGAGCAAAGTAATTTGTATAATTTTACTTCGCATGTGAGAACCATTAGCACAGGCAAGTCTGATTGGGCTTAGCAGTACCACAGCCTCCGCATGGCTTTATGTCTGTGGTTGCACCTTTACAATGCAGAAAACCGCTGGTCTCTAGAGCTTTACGCTTAAAAGTAAGACCTATTTTACCCAGGGGAGAATGACTGCCCCCTCTCATTGAAGCCACGGAAGCTCAAGGCCGACAGCGTTACTGCAGGCATTGTTAGCAGAAAACAGGATCCCCCAT